TTAGGAAAATATTTGGTAGTTTAAAATTTTATGGTTCAAATGGTTCAAATCTGTCAAAATGACGTCGTTTTACACTTAAAATCTGTCAAAACGGCATCGTTTTAAATGATTTGAACCATTTAAATCACAAAATTTTAAGCTACCTATCATTGTTATTTTATTTTATTTTATTGGATTATCTTCGTTAACACATTTGTTTTGTTTTGTTTTTTTTTTTTTTTTTTTTTTTTAAGAAACGCTTTGGTTGTTTTTCGAATATATCCATCTAGAGAGAGAGGGTGATAGGAAATAGGAATTGTGTCTGGTTGTTTTTTTTTCGGTTTTTTAGTAAGATGTGGCAAGTCCTTACCTTTTAAGATTTCATCTGTCTTTCTGATGAAACACTTTCCATTATTAAAATTTATATAAATTGATGAACCATTGAACGATGATTTAAAAGAGTGGCTTGTAATTTACTCTCAAAAAAAAAAACTAAAACAAAATAAATAAAAAAAACATCAACAAAAAAAAATAAACAATGGTATAACAACATAAAACAACTTGTACTTCGTGAAGTGTGAACCAACATTCCTATTTCTTCACCCTCTCTCTCTAAGATGATATTTCGAAAAAACAAACCAAAGCGTTCTTAAAAAAAAAAAAAAAAAAAAAAAAAAAAAACCAAAACAACAATGTGTTTTACGAAGATATTCTAAATATAAATAACAATGATAGGTAGTTAAAACTTTGTGATTTAACTGGTTCAATCATTAAAAACCGATCGTTTTACAGATTTTAAGTGGTAAAACGACGTCATTTTGACAGATGAACCATTTGAAACATAAAATTAAACTAACCAAATATTTTCCCTAAAAATAAAATCACCAATACACATTAGGCGCAGTACTAGAACAACCCACCTCGCTCACCTAGCAAAACCAGAACCCCGCACTCCACCGCGCGTTGCACAGGCGGTAACCGGAAATGCCAAGCCTCCCACACCTTCCCAAATCTTCTACAAAAACTCCTCGCTATAAGCTTTCCACCCGATCAACATCGTGCAAAAACACATGCTCAACCAGATCTTTTCCTATTCCTCGCCATCACAGCCCCGATAATCGCCGCCATCCTCCCCGGCGCCTGGCAAAAAAAACCTCGGCGCATATCAGATCAAATCCCACTCCTTATCGTACCCTCATCAGCAACCCAATGCTAATGCACTTGCACTTCGTTTTTACAAACGATTTAATTCGCGAAGTCCGGTTCGGATCGTACGATTTGAAGAAGATCGTCGGATCGGAAGAGTTGGTCGATACTTACGGGGGGCTCTCAGATCCGGAGCGCTTGAGAATGGTTTGGATCCATTTGGGGTCTTCTTCAGGAAGCGTGGTCCACCGCGTTGAATGAGGCCCCACATCAGAGAATCGTGGCCGAGTCCGAAGACGAGGAATTGGCCAGGGGAGAAGATCGGAGGACATCGAAGAGACTCGATCTCCGGCAGAGATTGTGAGGGACCGAGTAGATGTGCGTAGTGAAGATCGCGTTGAGTTGGACGCCGAAGGAGTAGATCGCCGTAGATTACAGGTGATTGGATGTCGGTGACCGAGTATGGAGATGAGAAGAGGCCGGCCGACTGCCGGAGAGGGCGGCGATTATGCCATTTCCTGGGAGAAAAATGGCGGTTCTTCATCTCGGTTTGGTTGCGAGAAGAAGAGAAAATATTTTTAAGTTTTGATGACTGTGTTTTTGTTTGGGTTTTTTGATAGAGAACGGGATATTGGTGAAGACATGAGATGAGAGAATGAGTGGTGTTATACCGAAAGCTTGACTGCATGGCAATTTTTGGCATCAGTTTTTTCGAACATTCTTCTTACTCATCAAGATAATAAGAACAACGGGCGGTGATTATGGATGGTATGATAAAATTTATTAATATTTTTTTATTCACATAAAGTGGTTGACATTATAAACAAAAGATTCTCGTCCATTTTGATTTAAATAATTTTTGAAGTGAGCCATTTTATTAATCATTAATTGTAAAATCTCACCAAATAATTAGGGAGTTTTTTTAAAATCTATTGTCTATATAATATAATTATATTTAATTTATATCATAGTTCACAGCTTTCAAGACAAACCTCAATTAGATTTAGCATAAAAAATAGAAATTAATCTGTAATTTTAAAGAAAATCACTTTAGTTTGAATACTTACCCCCATTTGATTAAATTAATATATTAAGGAAAATCATAAATTAATAATATCCATAACTTACTTTAAAATTAGAAAGTATAATACATCTTTCACACTTTTATAATGTAAATTAAAAATAAAGCAATAAAAATTAAACAAAATAAAATAATGTAAATTTTACGATAAACATCAATAATACTAACCTTCGAAAAACAAAACATAGTACTGCAGTTTTTCAATGTTTACCATAAAATAAACACCAACTATCTTAAAATAAATCGTATCAAAATACAATATGAAATAAGTTAAACAATTAAATGCAATTATCTTTAAAAAAATTAAACTCATATTCATGTATGTTCAACTATTGAACAATCTTTTTCTTTGTGTAAAATAAATAAAATAGAATCAAAGCCAAACAAAAAAAATAAAACTACAGAATTATTTGTTGAACAGAATTCAAAAGTCAAAAGACTAAGTCGAGTGTTGACACTTCTGTCCTTAAGACCAATTTCCCGCTACGGTGCTTACGGTTATGTGGCGTCTATCCCAAGAAAATGATATTTACAAATTTGGTAGTAGCAACTTCAACAAATTTGTCCGGCGAACTAGAACTTGTGTTCTATAACTCTCTGAAATTTTTTCTAATAATCTGAAGACTAAGACAAGAGGCAAAATGAAGGCTAGGAAATGATTTTCAGATCAATCAAAATGGAATGGGGCTGCCTTTAATATAGTTTGTGGCACCTATTCATTGATAGAAAGGTATGAAGAAAGACATAACTCATTTAAAATAAGAGGAATACCATGAAGGTTTGCACCTTTTCTTCAAATGAGGTTTGCTTCTTTCTATAAAAAAAAGACACCATGAAAGTTTACACCCTTTCAATTCGAAATGGAGTCTATTTATTCATCCTATCTCTTTTATAAATTTTCCAACA